GTGAGGTTTCCCATAGTAAACTGTTTGGCTCTGTTTGGCTTTCAGTAAGGCAGGTCCATTCCTCTTTTCCTCCTCTATGGAGAGAGCAATAGGGATTAGGCTGGAAAGTTACCTTCCAAAAGTGAGAAGGGAATTAGATTGCTGTTTCAGAGCTATGAAATTATTTGGAATGTTTTACAAGTGGCTACTGTAACAGGTAATCACAAAATGTGTACATCACAACAAACTTTTAAAGACACTTTGCCTTGTGCTCACATTCCCTTAAATGCTGTTCCCAAAAGTGGTCAGCCTCTAGCCCAGCTGGAATCTCTGGGAAGAAGCAGAGACAGTTTGGTGAAAAATACAAGGGGTTGGGGGTAAAGGGGATGTTGAAAGGAGAAAGCAGCCTTCCAGTTAAAAAATCAGCCTTCAGTTTCAAGGGCAGCTTCAGGCTGGCTGGCCTCAGGCAGAGTCAGGGTCAGAGGGAGGAGCAGCAACAGGGCGGGACTGGGGAGCTCAACATCTCCTTCAGGTTGAACAGAGTCTGGTCCAGCATGTACAGAGGTGCTCCTCTTTAGTGCATTTCAGCTAATCTTCCAAATCATCAATTGTCTTTTCCAGTTAGGCTATGGATCTCTGCAAATTCAGCACGGGTCTCTGCCTCCTTGAATTATCAGTGAGAATCTTTATTTCTTCCTGGTATTTGTCTTTTATTAAGAGTAGTTTTCTTCAGCAGCATTCAGACACTTCAGGTTCTGTTCCATCAGTCTGATCTGCTCATCCATCTCTCAACAACTGGACTGTGCTAGCTCAGCTCATTCCTCTGTGCATTCCAAGTCTCCTTCAGTGATCACTAACTTGGGAGCCACCTCTTCATATTTCCTATCTGCTTCTTCTGCAATGTGCTTAGCTTCTTTGAGTTGATTTCTTGGAGTTCCATGTTTTCTTCATCTTTTAGGGCCTGGTTTTAAATAACCTTCATACCTTGCTCGCTCACATCAGCAGCTTTTTCTGCTTCCTCCAGCCTTTGCAGGGCAGTAGCTAGGCATTCTTGAGCTTGGTCCAGCTCCTCTTGAACCAGTTGGATCCTGCAGTTCAAGGAGGGTACCTCAGCCTTAGCCTGTTTGTTCCTGGGCCCGCCTTTGTCCCTCAACTTCCCATTGGAGGCACTCAGCCCTCTCTTCAGCATCATCTGATTGCTGCTGCAGAACCTGGATCTTGCGCTTCACCCCCTCCATGGTGGTGATCCCGGCCATAGTTTCCACCCAGTCCCTTCTCCATATCTGCCTTCTGCCTCCTCCGCTCCACGTTGTAGCCGCTTCTCTGTCTAATGCTTTTTTATGCATCTATTGAGATCATGTATTTTTAAATTTTTTTTAATAAGGTGAATTTCAGTGATGATTTAAAAAGCTCTACTTAGTTTTGAAATATTATCCTTTTTATATATTGCTATGTTTATACATTTATTTAAAAATAGTAATTAGAATTAGTAAATTCTGAAACATTTTAATAATTCAGTCAACAAATTCATGAATTACTGTGTACCAGGCATTATTCTAGAATGCTGAACAAAACTGTCCTTAAATTATATTCCCTTTGTGCAATATAATACAATGTAAGGTAGTGATGCTGCTAGAAGAGAATGTACTAGAAGAGAATGGAGAGTCATGAAGTGAGGAGTTCAAGTTATTTTAAATATATTGATCAGGGAAAGACTTTAATGAGGTGACCTTAGAGCAGAAACATGAATGAAGTGAGGGAGGTAGCCATCTTATTTGTAGAAAAATAATAATTATTTCAGTCTGAGAGGATAGCAGGCATAGTCACTGAGTCAGAGGGTTGTATTTCAAGATTAGCACAAAAGCCAGTGTTTCTGGAGTTTTATATAGTAATCCATGGAGAGAAGTAGAAGATGATATAGTCAGAAACCTAATAATCTTAAAACTTTGTAGGCCATGGTAAGCATAACTTTGGATTTTATTCTAAGTATAGTGGCAACTACGCATTTATTCACCAGACATTTATTGAGTACCTGATATACGTCAGATATTTGTTTATATTGGGGATACAGTAGTTCTTAAAATAGTAAAAGATCTAAGCCTTCCGAGAGCTTGTAAGTGTTACTGAAAAGTATATATAATATGAAGGTAACCAGAAGTGATAGTTTCAAATATTCATTTGGGAAACATTGTTATATACAATGATTATGTATCTAAACAATTGGAATAAATCCACTTACATTTTATGCTCAATACATGAAGGAGACATACCTATTTTCATGGGCTTCTTTTGATTGCAAATTATAGAGACTTATTGCAGACTAGGATTTTTTTTTTTTTAAATAAGGATACACGTAGGAATAGGGTATAGAAGGACTTCATAGAAATCCTAGAATTGGGGCTGTGATATGTAGGGGCCTTTCAGAGTCTAGAACCTAAAATTTTACATTGATAAACAAGTGAATTGGTTATCTGTTGCTATGTAACAATATCAAAATTTAGTGGCTTAAAACGTTTATAGTTTTTGGGATTTGGGAATCTAGACTTAGCTGGGTGCCTCTGGTTCAGTCTTTCTGACCAGGTTGCAATCAAGGTGTTGGCAGGAGCAGCAGTCATCTCAGGGCTTGACTGGGGAAGGATCTACTTCTCAGATCGCTTACATGGCTATTGGCCAGAGAGATATCATTTCTTTGTCATGTGTATCTTTACAGCTCAGAGAATGGCAGCTAGCTTCCTTGAGTGAGAAAAGGTAACAAGATGGAAGCCACAGTTTCTTTGTAACCTAATCTCTTGAAGTCATATCCCATCATTACTATTGTATTCACTCATTAGAAGTGAGTCACTAAATTCAGTCCATACTAGAGGGGATTACACAAAGGCATGAATGCCAGAAGGTGGGGATTAGGGTCATTTTGGAAGTTGCTTATCATATCAATTAAGCCATATATATGTGTGTGTGTGTGTGTGTGTATAAGCATATATATACATACATACACACACCACATGTATAATTTTATTCTAGTTCTCTACCATAAATGGACCTTAGCCACCCTTAATATTTTTTAAAATTTGTTTTTCTAATTTGTTATACATGACATCAGAATGCATTTCAATTCATAGTACACATATAGAGCACATTTTTTCATGTCTCTAGTTGTACACAAAGTGGAGTCACACCATTTGTGTCTTCATATGTGTACTTAAGGTAATGATGTCATTCCACCATCTTTCTTACTCCCATGCTCATTCCCTTTCTCTTCTTCCCCTTTGCCCTATCTAAAGTTCCTCCATTCCTCCCATGCCCCCCCCCCATCCCCATTATGGATCAGAATCCTCATATCAGGGAAAACATTCAGCATTTGTTTTTTGGGATTGGCTTCCTTCACTTAGGATAAAATTCTCCAACTCCATCCATTTACCTGCAAATGCCATGATTTTATTCTCTTGATGCTGAATAATATTCCATTGGCCACACTTAATCTTGCATTCCTTTTCCCTCTCTTTTTGCTGTCATCTGTATTTCTTAACAATCTGTGTATCTTTTTTTTCTATTTCTTATTTTTAGTTTTTCCTAAGTGGTATTTTCACATTTGAAACATTTTTGTTAGGTGGTTAGATAACAGGAGCTCTTGCTTTGTTAACAATCTACATTTCTCACATTACTTTTGTAATTGAGTAAATGTTTAGTGACTATTTGGATGTCATCATCTGTGAAGTGCTTTCTTGCCCTATCCTTTACCCCATTTGTAGTTCTTTATATATCCTGGTAACTAATATTTTGTCTGTTGTATATGTTGTAGATATCTTCTTTTAGTCTATTACTTGCTTGACCTTGTTTGTGATTTTTTTTTTTTAATTAACAGAAATTTTTCTTTCTTGGTCATTTGTGATAGTTTTTATAAAATAATAAAAATGAAATATAGTTAAAGCTAGTATCTGGAGACACACAATATGAGAGTGTAGTAATAGATTATCTTTTGTGTTGAAACAAAAATTTTGGAGTATCATAGTTCCAAAGCATTAGCTATCTTTAAAAATTATGATTGCTAATAATGTAAAAAATTTTCCCTAATAGCCTTCATAATTTTTAATGGTACTATGTCACCTTTTTCTTTGAATCAGAAAATATGGTCTCAACTCTTCCTTTTGATAAAATCCAGTAAAAGTTATTTAATGAGAGGATTAATCATTAGTGATCATCTGGCATAATAACCAGTATTTTTCAGGCAAGAATAATGCCTTCTGCAATGATAACTGATGATTATTATTTGTGAATTGGGTAAAAATATTAGATACATTTTCAGGAATAATTTATAGATTTGTGTAGATTATATGAGTTCTGACTATCACATTTTTTATTTCCACATTTTTGCATTATTTTTAATAGCTATGAATTTATATGTTTTTATTTGAAGTTTGGTTCACTTAGGTCTTATGAACAAATTATTTAGTACATTTTAATTGTCATTATTACTGTTCAGGTTGTGGAGATTAAATTAAGAAATGGAGGTTTAGAGCAATTTATTTTACTTCATAAAAACGTAAAATTGATGCTTTTTGTCAAAATTATAGGACTGAATCACATTTTTAAGTATGATGAGATTCTGAGTTGGAATTTTTTTTCTTTGACTCTTACTAAACCTTGTCAAAAAATTGAATTCTGAAATGTAATCATATCCACAAGTACTTGTTGAACACTTGTTGTGATAGTGCAATTTATTTTTTTTGTGGTACAGTGCTGTGGGATGATACATGGCCTCATATATGCTAGACAAGTACTCTACCACCAAACTATACCCCTAACCTGATATTGTACAACTTTAATTGGAATTTTAGATATTAGGCCCCCAGTCACAGTGAATAATAGCTAATCCTTGTAATAATGTTGGAAGTTGGGAAATAAAGGACCTTGATTCAATTCACATTTTAATCAGAAACATCAAGAAAATGTTGCCCTTGGAAAAGTATAAGCATGAAAAATTTTTTCTAGATATTTGATAATTTATTTTTACATTATTTTAGGTTTCCAGTAATTATCTGCAGGGATCGCCATGACCCCAGCTCTGAGGGAAGCAACAGCAAAGGGTATCTGCTTTTCATCTTTGCCAAGTAACATGGAGTCTGACAAGATGCTATGCATGGAAGGTCCAAGAACTGTAGATGAAAAGCTAAAAGGAGACACTTTCTCTCAGATGCTGGGATTTCCAACTCCTGAACCTACTCTTAACACTAATTTTGTGAATTTAAAACATTTTGGCTCCACCCAGTCTTCAAAACATTATCAGACAGTTCTTTTAATGAGTTCTAATTCTACATTAAATAAATACAATGAGAATTACAAACAAAAGAAATCAGGGGAGCCCAACTGCAATAAGCTGAAAAACATACTGTGTAATGGCAGCAACATTCAGCTCAGTAAAATCTGCCATTCTCATTCTGAAGAATTCATCAAAAAGGAACCTCTATCAGATACCACAAGCCAGGGCATGAAAGATATACAAATTATTTTGGATTCAAATTTAACCAAAGACACTACTATAGATAAAGTACAATTGCAAAAGTGTAAATGGTACCAAAAGAATGCACTTCTGGATAAAGTTACTGATGCTGAAATTAAAAAGGGTTTATTGCACTGCATTCAAAAGAAAATTGGACCTGGCTACTCAAATGTGCCTATTAATTCCTCAGCTGCTGAGAAAGAGGAGGAAGTGAATGCTCGTTTACTCCACTGTGTAAGCAAACAGAAAATTTTACTTAGCCAGGCTAGAAGAACTCAGAAACATTTGCAGATGCTCCTGGCAAAGCATGTTGTTAAGCACTATGGTGAGCAAATGAAATTTTCTATGAAACATCAACTGCCCAAAGTGAATCTCTCTCATGAATCTACCACAGTTTTGGATAACAGTTTACCCAAATGCACTGAAATTAAGCCAGAAGTCAACATGTTGACTGCAGAGAATAAATTGTGGGATGATACAAAAAATGGCTTTGCTCGGTGTACAGCTACAGAAATCCAAAGATTTGCACTGTCTGCTACAGGGCTGTTGTCTCATGTTGAAGAGGGTCTGGATTCTGATGCAACTGATAGCAGCTCTGATGACGATTTGGATGAATATACCATTAGAAAAAATGTGGCAGTGTAAGTGCAAAATTATTATTAGACCTTTTTTTCTGTTCTGTGTATGGCAGCAGTTGTCTTGGTTTCAAGATATGTTAAAAGGAAATAGGCTTTCTAAAATCTTCATGCCATAATCTTTAATTTAAAAAACTTTGGTGAATTTTTAAAATGCTCCATTTGTTAAGCTATTGTGTGTGAGTCAGATCTGTGGAGGATTGGTTTCAGAACCTTCTGCAGATACCACACTCCAGGAATGCTCAAGTTCCTTATTTAAAAATGGTACAGTATATGTACCTATATACAGCCTGCTGTATACTTTAAATCATTTGTAGATTACATATAATCTACAATGTAAATGCCATATAAATAGTTGTCATATGCTTTGTTTAGGCCATAATGACAAGGGAAAAAGTGTACATACTCAGTACAGATGCAATTTTTTTTCTATATTTCCAATTTGTGATTGGTCGAATTGGCAAAAGTAGAACCTATACATATGGAGGTCTGACTGCACATACAGTTTAAAAATAAATTACTCAACTATTCTATCTAGAAAAAATAATATAATTAGTTAATATAATAGTAATAATATAATTAGTTATAAGTAAGCATTCTTTTTATTCTCAAATATAATAAGGTGTAAACTTTGCTTAAGTGATCTAGCCAATATAAATAGCTAAAACAAACAAACAAAAGTCAAGTCTGTACATAGACAACCTTCATTGACTGTTATCAGTTGAGAGTACTTGAAATTGACCTGCTATTTTTTTTTAACTATATTTTCATTGTATTCATAGTTTTCAGCTTTGTTCTTTACCAACTAAGTCAGTATTTGCTAGACTAAGAAAATGAAAACCAAATTATAATGTCAACTGTAAGATACCTATTGAATATTTACTATATGCTTGACACTAGAGATTAAGTTGTAGACAAAAATATTCACAGTATCTTTCCTCCTGAGTTTTTACATGAAACAAAACTATTTAGATTTTCTTTTAAATGCAGCCCCAAAATACCTTTAATTGTAACACCATGATAACATTTCAGAACAGCTGTAATAGAAATTTAAATTTCTTTGTCTATGATATCCAATAGGCACTTGCCTTGTGTTGGTATTGAGTTCTTGAAATTTGACCAGTGATACTGAAGGATTGAATTTTGAATATTATTTGACAATTTAAATTTAAATAGCCAGATCGAACATAGTTGTTATTATTTGGTACCTGGGATTGAACCCAGGGGTGCTTAACCACTCAACATTCCCAGCTCTTTTTTAACTTTTTATTTTGACACAGGATCTCACTAAGTTGTTTAGGGCCTCACTAAATGGTGACACTGACCTCCAAACATGATCCTTCTGCCTCAGCCTCCCAAGTTGCTGAGATTACAGGCAAGTGCCACTATGCCCAGCAGAACATAGCTTTTAATCTAGCTTTCAGGGAATCTGTTGATGCCACCAAATTGACGTGAATTACTGTGTGTATATGTGGCTTTTGGATGTAGAAAGTCCATCACTTTTTTACATTCTCACAAGTAAATGTAACTCATTGAATTAGAAGGCACTTTTTTACTAATAAGTATAAAGCAAGTTTTTATAATGAGAAAAGTAAGTAAAGCAAAGTGAGCATTTTAGTCTTTTGGTGTTCTGATATCATTGTGATGGAAATTTGCTTGAATGTGGGAGCCAGTAATGTTATTGAGCACAGGTTATTCTTTTGGCTGACATTGTGCTACTTATCTATGATATCTCAGTTCTTTCAACAACCCTGGGAAGTAATTGTTGGTATCCTGATTTCACTTAAGAAATAAATTCAGCATGGTTAAGTAATTTGCTCAAGGCCCAAAATCCAAATAAGTTGGTAGAGCCAGAATTTTGTCCATTTATGGGTGACTTTAAATCCATGTGTGTTTCTTTATACCATGCTGCTCTCTCAGCATTATATCATTGATTCTTACAGCTACAAGAATTTTTAGGCTCATGAGTTGAAAGAAGACTAAAAATTTGCTAATTTTATACTTAAAATACTTTTAAAATAATTTAGTTTAATGAAATTTAGTAGGTTAATATAAATATTTACCTTTTTGTTGTTTAGAACAGCTAAAAGCAAATTTACCTCCTTTAACTAGAAATAGAATTAAGAAAATTATATCTTCCCAAACTATTTCAACCTGTGATGCTATTTCTGTTAGTATTCTCTTTCATTTTCTTACAGCACTGCCATATAGTTTATCATCAAATCATGTTTTTTATATGGTTTATAAATGTATCTATTAGTCTTAATAATACAACCCCTATTAAGGGTAGAAATCAAATTTTTTACTTTTTGTTATTATTTATACTCCAAGCATAATGATTGGTTCGTCAACATTTTGTTTTAAAAAAGACTTACTTTTACTCCTTAAATTTAGTGAGAGAACACCGAGTTCAGACATTTATATAAAATATACATAAATGAGGAAATCTGATTATTGAAATATGTTTTAAAGAAAATATCAAACAATACATATTTTACCTTTATTTATCCTTTGGTACCAGGGATTGAATTCAGGGGCACACAACCACTGATCCACATCCCCAGCCCTTTTTTGTATTTTATTTAGAGACAGGGTCTCACCAAGTTGCTTACCGCCTGGCTTTTGCTCAGGCCACTTTGAACTCCTGATCCTCCTGCCTCAGCCCCCCAAGCCTCTGGAATTATAGGCCTGCACGACCGCGCCCAACATATTCTACTTTTCTTGTCTACTCTGCCATTTCTTTTGTTTTTGAGGAAAAGTGAAGTAAAGTAGCCTTTAAAAAATTGGATCTTGATCTGGAAATTTACTTTTCATACTTTATTTTTTCCCATGATCGACTGGAGAAGTTTTGAGAACTCTGAAATAGTCAATAAGAAATTTCATAACAACTTATAGCCTCTTAAGTTATTGACCTTTTAATATTATGATGAGTTGATTATTAAAGCTCATATCTTTATTTCAGTAAGTCAAAGACTTTGTTCTAAAGTCAAACTCATCTAATAGATTTTTTATTTAACTAATACTAAATTCATAAAACTCTTTGAATTTTCTAATTCATTGACTTATTTGATAATTGTTTAGTTTTTTGTTTTTGCTACTCAAAATCTGTCCCAACATTTATTTATTTCATATACCTTACCATATATTTGTTTTGAATATTTTTACTTACAATAATAGGTATCTTGTGAGAAAGATTGTTTTTAAGTATTTAATTAATTTTGAAGTTAACTGAATTTGACAGCAAATAACAGGACTTTAATCATTTCTTTTGATATAAGTATAAAAATAGTATCTGTTTTATTTAAATTGGAGTTAATCAGTTTGATTTCAGGTTACTAAATTCATTTTTAATTTATAACATCACGTTAAGTTTATTTTTTCTTATTGTTATTTTTTACATTGCTGGGAACTCAGTTTTCAAATATAGATGAATATTTTTAACACAAGGTTTGGAATTAAACCTTAAACATAAAATTAGAGTAAAAAGATTCATTTTACCTTCTATTTTTCTTTGGCTCTATAGTCCTGATAGGAAAAAACAGTTTCCTTCACTTTAATCAAGAAATTACCTGTGAAGGAGTGTACTTGTTTGCTTTTTGTTTGTTCTTTTTCTTTTCTTGCCGGGGGCGAGGGGGGGGGCGGTATTGGATAGCACTTATATTGCCATTACCATTTTTGTTTTAAGTATACATTTTATTTGCCACTTTTACTTTCCCTCCTAAGATGGAGGCAGTGGATAAATTCATAATGACACTACTTGATAGACTTTAAAAATAACTTCTGATTGAGAGGCTAGTGTGCATTAAAAGTTAAAAAAAACGTTGATTTCAGAAAGGATGATGGGGGATTTAATTTTTGTGGGTTTGCAATATGAATGGAATCTTTCCCTTCATTTTTACTTTTTGAATAAGTGAAGAGCTCAGGTTTTGGAAATAATTGTGTTACAATTATGATCCTAAGTATGGTTACTCTTAACTTTCTGATTCAGGTTCCTCTTCTTTGGGCTATGATAAAGAGTTTTGGAGATAATTAGGTGAAATATTAAATATAAGGTAATAATAAGACATTGATAAGACAGCCAATGAAGAGTTATTATCAAACAATTTACTACTGAGAAAGCTTATCTGGAGCTTAATATTGCTGGGAGAAACTTGGGGAGTTAGTGTAAATAAGGAGCAGGGATAGTTTTATACCAGTTATCATCAGTTATTGATTGTAGGTGCTCTTGGTAGCATCAGTTTCCTCGCACTTCTGTTCTGCTACTTGGGTAGGGTTGGCAAAGCAGTGTCCAGCAACAACAAAAAAGAAGCCCTCAATCAAAGTAATGCAGGTGCTGGCAGTTGGAAGTCAGGCTTGTGTTTACTGGTTAAATTTGAGGTGACATGGTTGGGTCACTGGCAAGAGCCTATTACAATTATTTCTTATTTGCTTAGTAAATTCTTAGAATTCTGGTATTTCTTTTCTTTGGGGGAATAATGATCAGTTGCTTTCTTCTAGAGTATGTATTTGGAGAAACTTGCAGATTTTGATATAGGAATGTTTTGATTCTCCAAATTTGTAGAAAAGGAAGAAATATGTCTCCTTGTGTATTCCAGGAATCCTGTCAATGTCTTCCAAATCCCATAATTGAACTACCTCAGAGGTTGAGTGCAAAATACCTCATCATTTCCCCAAATGGTCTCCATATATTACAATTTTCTTTGATTTTTTTTTTAAGTTTAGGTATATAATTTGGTACACTTGATAAATTCTTTTTTAACAGATTAAGGCACTGACAAAGAAAGGAGACTGTTGATGTTTAGTTGTTGATGTTTTCTTAGAGCTGTTGGGTGACATCGGGCTGAAAGACAGGAAAGAACAAGCAACATTTTGTAGATCCACAGAAATGAATATTCAGGTTTGTTACTGATTTCCTATTTTGGCCAAAGGAAAGGAAAAGCAAAGAACAACAACAAAACTAAATAGCCAGGTGATCTAGTATTTCCTTTTGGGGTAAATAGACCAAT